GGCGGCTCTTTCCACTTCTTTTAATGGGACTTGAGGAGCAAGCCACCTTCCCCGGTGCCGTTTGGGGCGGCTCGATGCCGGGCGGGCGCGCGCAGACTTCCCGAAAGTCTCTGCCGCGGGCTGGGGGCGCTCGGGGCCCTGCCCTGGGTGAGAAGCCTCCCGTGCATTTTATTAATTTTGTTGTAAGGGATGTCCCCCCTGGTTAAGATCATGTGTTTTTTTTTAGCTATCTCAAGCTTCCTGGATGGAAATGGGATAGATCACTTCCGTACACTGATTTAAAATGTCTTCAAGAGGGAGGTGGAAATCCCGGACTGCAAAAATCTGTCACAAAAGGACACAAGGGCACGCCTTGGCACTTGGGCAGCCGTGTCCCCTGCAGGCGCCTGGGCGGGCTTTGTTCCTAGAGATTAGAAAAGACCCTTTCGTCTTTCAGTCCTGCCTCGTAGAAAGCCCCGCGCTGCCTGCAGAAGTGCCCCGCCGCATGCCTGGGGGGGAGCGGGGTAGAGGTCTCTGGTTATGCTGCTTTTGAAGGCTGACCTCCAGTGCTTTTGGTCTTTCCACCCTCACTTCTCAGCCTGGACCTCTGTCCCGCTCGGCCCTGGGGAGGGGTGCGACTTGCGCCGATGGTTTCATTGCAATCGCTGGGGTTTGTGGGGGTCCGTGGGCATTTTTCCTGCTTGGAAGTGGGGTAGTGTGGCAGCCCCATTGTTCTCTTTGTTAGCTAGAGCCATGCTGTGATTAGCATGATGACATCATACTCCCCGCTTCCCATTGGCCTGCTCCGCTGCTCCAGTCCATTTCCAGGCGCACGCACAATCCCAGTTTACACCAACTGCTCGGCCTCAACTTTCTGTGCTTCCCCCTCTGCTGCTGAAAGCCGTGCCGTGGGCTTGCGAGTGGGCTCGGAGCAGCGAAAGGTGGGCGTGATCGCTGGCAGGGCGATCGCTGGTTAACTGAGGGCTGGCGCTGGTCTCTCTCCGCTGCTTGTCCCAGACCACGGGGAATAGCAGTCTCATCTCTGATCCACCCTCTCTCTGGGAAATTGGGGGGCGGGGGGAGGTGGGGGGCGATTCGGAGAGCCGATCCGTTTCTTCGGTCTCTTAGGATGCAGTGGGATTGTCGAGCAGTGCCCCACCCTTTCTTTCAGTCGCTCAGAGCGACTGTCTGTTTGTGTGTTGCTGCTGCACAGAAGCCCCAGTCCTAAAGCCTCATCAGCCCTTGGTGAAGTTAAACTTATGTGCTTAAGTGCCAGCCAGCACCCCCTGCCCCCAATGTCTCGTTCAGGGAGATGATGCCTGGAGACTTGTTAAACATTAAAACCCCACCAGCTGCCAGAGTTTAAGCAAATAAGCTGCCCAAGGGCATTAGCACTCAATGCGACTTCAGAGTGGCATGCCACAAGGGAAAGGGGCTCTGGGACAGCACATGCAGAGCCTGAAAGCATCTACAAACTTGGGCCAGAACTGGCACGTGGTTCTCCCCCTGCCCCAACCCTCCAGCGGAGAGTGGCTTCTTTCAGCATGCCACATTCGCCATCTCGCCAGCGCTTTTGCTTTTCCGTGCAGTTTGGGCCTGGTGCACTGTGGCCCCTTTGTGCCAGCTCTGTTGGCCCAGGAGAGGCTGCGAGTCTTGGCAGGTTTGGTTCTCGAGGGACTCTCCCTCCACTGGGCATTCATGGGATGTGCCAGGTTGGCGCCGCTCCAGTATCGCTGTGCCGTCCCAGATGGAGGGTGTGGGGGTATGACCAGAGCATCTTTGTGCTCTAGCTATTCTCAGCTGTCAGGAAAGCCCTTCAGGCCCCAGGAGAGGAGGGCATGCTAGGGCTGGCCGAGCCTATCGCCACTCGAGGCCAAACTGTGTCAGACCCAGACCCAGAACAGGCAAAATGCAAATGTGACACTTTTGCTTCCCCCAGGTTTTGCATCAAGCTCAGCTTAGCTGCAAAAATGGATCTTCACATGCCTGTCTGCCTGGATCTCAGACCTGCACGCATCCACACTGCACTGTGGCCCAGGGGTGGGATCAAATGTTCCTGGCTCCCTAGGTTGTTCTTGTACTGGGCTTTTTGGTTCAGGGTCTCCTTCCACATCTATCTTTGGCCTTCTTGGCATCCCCATGGGGTGCGCCAGCTGTGAGTGACTTGAGCTTCGACATAAATAGCATTGTCCTAAGACCCCTGTGTGCCTGCCATGAAACTACTTAAAAATCCACATGTCAGGAACCAAGACTCCGTGGTCAGACAGGTGAATGCTAATTGTTGTCACGGCCTTGTGTTTTACAGCAGAATCTGCTTTAATGGGACATCCCGATAGATGACCTTTCGTTCCAATTAACTGGACTTCCCCGGTCAGAGAAGGTAGCAGAAACCCAGTGCTGACCTATGTGAGCACCAAACCTGGGCTAAATGACTGGAGCTAAGATGTTGGTTAACTAAGGAAAAGCACCTTTCTCTGCCTCAGTTTCCCTGTCTGTAAAATGAGGAACTGTTTTATCTTTATTCACAATATGCCTCGGGGGCAATCACAACTGAAACCCGGCTCTCCTGACTTGCTGCTCTAGGGCATGTCTTCAGGCCAGGCTGTGGGTGTGGGGGATGAAACTCATGACTTGCCCAAGGCCAGAAGGAATCGTTTTGAGCAAGGGAAAGAATCGGGGATTTCATGTCTCCCAGTTCTCCCACTAAGCCACGCCTCTGTGTCCTATAATGGTTTCTTCTCCATTACAGTTCCCTGTACAGTCCCATGGCGTACAACCATGGCCACCTTGGTCCCCGAGACAGTTGTAACAAGGAAACGAGCTGTGACTTGGGAAACTTTGAGTGAGGATGAATGCACCTTTGGAGATCTCGGGTTGAATGGCAGCATGTGGGATGAAGTCCACTGGGCTGGAGCAACTAGTGGCCATCTCTGGCAGTCGTCACGCAGTCCAGAGGAGCGGGGCGGTTGTGTGCAGAGACTGCCCCGGCCTGGGCGTGTGGCAGAGTGTGGGGGTAGGCTGCAGGTCAGGACCGAGGAAGTTTGGCAGGACTTTCCATGCAAATGTCTTGGAGCAAGGCCTGCACCTTCCCGTGCATACAAACAGCAGCCAGCACATCAGGGAGACCCCACGCCACGGCTTGCCCAGTGCCTGGTTACTCAGCAGGCTGAAGCACTGAATAGACTGTATGTGCCAGCGCGCAGGATCCCAGCTTCCCCGGCAGACAGTGACAGGAGCCTTTGCTGTCAGGGCCGATGCATGACATATGCTGCTCGCTATGATTCCCCCCCCTCTTTTTCCTTGTCTGTTAACCCAGTTGTTCCCTGGAGCTAGTGGTGACCCTGCCAGGCTGGCCTCTGCTATGTAGAGCCAGCGTGTTCATTTTCCAACTACAACCAGCTCCATTCAGCTCGGCATAGAGGGTAATGAAGTGCTGAGCGAAACACTCCCCCTCCCGCCCCCCCCATCGCCTCATCCTAGCACAGCAGTGGGCTGGAGGGTGCTTGGTAATAGTATAAAATGGCTTTGTGTCTGCAGGGAGTGGGGATCGTGGGCTATTTCCTTCCCCTCCCATCTGACTCCTTAATGCTTTAAATGGCCCATGCTGCTACCACCAGGCAGCTGGGCCCAGAGGGATTCTGCTGTCATGCCTTTGCATGCAAGCCCATTCATGAATCTCGCTGTGGGAGGGGCTGCCTCAGTGCAGCGCCATGGGCATTAATTGCAGCAATGTGGTCTGATTTCTGAGCTGCAGAAGTGTAGTAGTATTAATAATGGAATCGGCATCGAAGACGGAGGGGAGTGTCTGAGCCAAGGAATCAACAGAGATTGCAGAATCGCGCTGGCTTCGTCGCTGCCAGCACCACATCAAGGTTGCTTCCCTCGCGTCCTGGCTTTGTCAGAGCATCTGGCAAAGACAGGCTTGTGACAGCCACCTCCCCTGGCAAGGCGGGGAGGGCTACCACAAGCTGGAGCAGGGGAGGGCTCCTGGGGCTTGTTCTCGGCTCCGACACCACGTCACTGCATGACCTTGGGCAAGTCACTGCCTCTCTCCATGACTTGGTTTCCCTGCCTGCTATCGGGGACAGCTCTTATCTCCCTAGAGAGCTGCTGTTTATATGGAGAGCTGGGACTTGGCAAGAAAGGTGAAACCAGCAGCTCTGACCCTGTATCGGGAGCTTGTTCTTTGTGAGCGTGCTGAGAGGCCTTCTCTCCACTCTGAAGCCAGTGCAGGTGCCCGTGGACTCTGCACTAACAGGACATTGCTCTCACCTGGGCCTGCTTCTGCTTTACTTGTCTCTGCTTGCTAAGCCCCGAGCCTGCCTCTAGTCTGTGCCCCAGCTCTGCTGCGGCAAACCCAAGGAGCACTCGATCATTTCCCTTTAGTTGCATCTGGACTTCCCTTCCCAGCTGCATGTGTCTCTTGGTCTGAGCAATTGGGCCTAAAACTCCCAAGCTCTGTTACATGGGTTGATCTAATCTCTGTAGCTTCCAGCTGCTAATTTTGCCTCTTATTCATACTTCTTCCTCTGGGGCCTTAGGCAAGCGGTACAGCCTCCCTGCCTCAGTTTCCACAATGGCCAGAGAAGCCACAGAGGTCCATACCATCTCTGCCTCTCCCAGTGGAGGGCAGAGAGGAAGGTGAATGAACTACTGCTTTGCAAAGCAGTTTGGAAGGAAAAGAGATGCAAAGTGGTATGACAGAGGTTCTATGAAGTGACAGAAGTGGTGTGTATTACCTTTTCCCCTTCTCGTGCCAGCACCAGCACCGCCTGGCAATACTGTCGTGCAGAAGATGTTGGGAGCTTTGTTGCGCGGGGTGGTGAAGCTGGGGGAGAGAGGGGCTTTGCCTCCTGCACTAGCCCTGAAGACGACATACCAGTGCAGGAGCTTTCCTGAGCCCTGGTCCTGCTGGCAGGATGAGAAGTACTGGCCACCCTGTGCCAAGGTGGCACTTCATTCCCAAGGACTCTCCCAGTGCGATTGACTCCTGAGATGAGCCTCCTCATACCTACACGTACAGCTCGAGAGAGGACTGTTGCAGCCTGTTCTGGCCTTGGTCTTCAGGGGCGCTGAGTGTAGGAACATGTTGCCACGCTCTGTGCAAGCCCTAGAGCCGTGGGGGAGCCTGGCGCCATGTAACATTGAGTGAAAGGAGTGTAAAATTGCGTAGAGCATCTTGGTCAGACTGAACGCAAGGAGCAGAGATACCCAAGTGCAAAGGCACCATGCGCTGGGTGGGATGGTCTTCTCCCCGCTTGGCTTCGTGGCCTAAGAGCTTGGAAGCCTGTTGCTTTGGGAGCTTGGTTGCTAGCAATTTGGAGCCCAGGGGAGGAGGTCCATCCTGTCCTGATACCCCTCCATCCTCTCTGCTAGCTCTGGTTTGCATTTGTGGAGTGGCTGCATGTGCTTGCACCAATGACACATGACCAAACCCCTGTGATAGCGATGGAAGGGTGCAGTAGCCCTGGTCTTCCTTGTGGCTGTGGGGCGACAGCAGGCTCCTTCTGTCGACAGAAGTAAGGGAAGCAGTGCAGAGGGTTAGGGCTAGGCTTGCAGAGGGAGTGCTAGCCAGTGACCTTGCTCTCCTGCCCTCTCCTCCCAGGATGAGGGGCCAGGGCCAGGTCTGAGCCTAGAACAATGAACTAGGAGGGGAACACAGCTCTGTGCTGCTAGTGCAAAAGGACTCTGGGGTTTAGAGCCACCCTGCACCCACCCATCTCCATGTCAAATTGGCTTGGAGCATTGGAGGGGCAATGTTTTTTATCCCAGGGGCCCTTGGAAATGAGGCATCGACTGTCCCCCAGTTCCTCACCACCCTCAGGAGCAGCTTAGAGGAGAGCATGCTTCTCAGATGTTAACATCTTGCCCATGATGTTCCCATCACATCATGCTGTCTGCACAGCGGGAGCCCCCTGCACTGTGTCCCATCTCTTGGGGCACTTTGCAGTGGGCAGCGGTGTGAACCTGGGGTCCTAGCCACCACTCCAGTGCCTGTCTTCTCCTTCTCTAGCTTCCTCTGCATATATTCTTCACTTCCTGTCCTAAGCTCCTAACAGTTTACAGCAAAGCTATGCGATTCCTGCCCCGGAAGTGGGGGAAGTTCATGAGTTGCTTATGCGGTGCCTACGCGTTGTTGTGTAGGTCAGCTGTAAAGTGCATTGGCCTCCTTTTGGGGTGAGATGGGATGAGCACGTAGCTATCGCATGGTGTCACAAGGGGACACACCCCTGTTGGGATGCAGCCAGTTGGCCCCAATGGCACTACGGGGATGAAAGCAGGGAGCCTGCCTGCCTGGCAGGGGGAAGCAAGGCAGGTAATATCCAGACGCCAGCAGGTGGTCAGGGCTTAGGAGGAGGGTTTCCGGAGAAATGTCCCACATAAGCCAGTCTGATGCTCCTAGAGTTATGTGCGGATATGGGTGTGGAGCCGGGCGTGGATGCTTGAGCTTTGTGCACAGGTCTCTGCCTCCCTCTCGATCCCTCTGGGCTGAGGGAGGCCTCCTGCCTGGGACTGCACGTGCTGAGCCCCATGGGACTGGAGCCTTTGGGCACCGTTCAGCACACGCTCACCTGCTGGCCTGAATCGGGGCCAAGGACCTTGTAAATCTCCAGAAGAGATGTACCCTGCAGCGGTTAGAGTTCAGGGACCCTCCTGGGTGCTGCTGATTTCCCTGCAAGGGGAGGGCTTGCTGCAGAAACAGAATACCCCTGGGCATGGCTCTTCTGGGGCCCAGGTGAGCAGCTTTGGTTTAAGCAGGAGCTTGCCTGCTTTCAACATACCAAGGTTTTTCCACTGGTAGCCAAGTCTGTGCCCCTCTCCCCTGCTCCAGGCTGAGCCGCGGCCCCTCCTGCAAGGCAGGTCCTGACAGTGCTCTGCGGCCTTTCTGACCCTGGCTATGGTATGACTTTCCTCTCTGCAGCCCCAGTAACCGCATCCCTCCCAGTCCCTTCCCAATCCCAGCTGGGGTGCTGGTGGGGGGGGTGTACAGTTCAGCCATTTTGTCACCTTTCTGACTCCTGCTTTAAGCACCCCCCCCCCGGACCACTCTGCTCCCTTTGGTTGCAGTTTTCCTGGGCCATTTTCCCCATCTGGTGGCTGCTGTCCCTCCCATGCTCCCTTCATACTTGCTGCCCTATTCCCCCATGGAGGGCTGAGACCCTTCCCCAGTATGGATGTTGTCATCCCAGCTGGTGAGGAGCATAACAGGCCCTGCAGCGGGCATGGTTTCCTCGGGTGCCAGGTGGGGGTGCCTCAGCACGTGGATGGATGCGAGACCAGCGAGCTGCATCCTGCACTATTGCCCTTTGCACAGCGGGACGCGCTGTAGTGAATTTGCAGTGCAGCATATGAATGTTGGTGGTGTCTAACCTCTGGGCGTTGCAGAAATCCGTATGCCAAGCTCCAGGTGGGTGCATGTTCCAGCTGCTCACCCCCTGCTGCCTAGTGCTTAGAGAAGAGAACATCCCAGCTGCCGCTTAGCATTGTGGCAGCTGCCTTTGGCCATTTCTTTGCTTTTCAGTAGAGCACCTCAGCATGGACATAGGTCCCATTGGAGGCCAAGACCTGGTGTGTTCACAGAAATTGTACCGGTGCCACTCTGTACTTCTGTTTCTTTGACTGATATCAGGGGCTTATTGCTTGCCAGAGTGACGGGAGCCCTAGGGCACCAGCGGTAACTCGGGAGTCAGTTGTCTCCTGTAGACTGTCCTCTTGGAGGAGCAAAGTCAGACACCTTCAGATCATGAGCAGAAGCATGTTAATGGCTGTGTTGCTGTAGCAGCGGTGACCCTGTCCCAGGTGGGTCATTCC